CGGTCAAAATGCTTTTTTTTTTTTTTTTTTGTGAACATCTGTAGTATTCATTTCTAGAATATGCGGGGACCACACTGATGGCTAAAAAAATATGCGGATCAAACCTGATGTAATAGATAGGAGTAATTTTAGATTTTGAATTACATAAATGAAAAATATTTTTTTTATTTTTAATTTATTTTATTTGTAATGTGATATAATTTAAACTCAAAACTTCTTTTTTTTTTTTTTTCTAAGAAAAGAGATGATATTATTTACATTATATTATTAAATTAATTGATATATATAATATTATGAATTTTAAAAATATAAAAATAAAATAATTTAGGAACAATTTTTTTTATTAATTTCAATATAATCTTATATGTTATTTAAATAACGGACTCTTTTAATTAATTTGAGATCCATTTTATCGAGTGTATTTATTTATTTAATGATATATAAAAATTATATAAAATAATAATACAAAAAAATTATTCTTATAACATCACTTAAAAAATTAATTATTAAATAATATAAAATTTATTTTTTAATATTTTAAATGATATAATTTATATTACATTTTTAATATTTATAAATTTGAACCTCAAAATTTTGTCCATTTATTATTATTCAATGGATAGATATAATCCAACAACTGGTGAGGCAGGATGAAGCGTAAATTAAGGCTCAAAATTGCTAGTAACACTATTACACTAGTATGTCGTGGCGGCAAACATTGAAACGACATTGATCACATCATCATCTTTTAAAATTTCCAACAAAATTAAGCCCTATGACGATATCCCAACCCCCCATCAGCTCTATATAAACCCCAATGGGTTTCTTCATAAACCAAACCATAAAACAGAAAAGCAAAAGCTATACAGTCCTATCCTACACAATGAGTTCCATCTATGCGTTTTCTTTCCTCTTTTCTGCTCTCTACTTACTCACCATGGCCTCTGCAGCCACATTCGATATCCAAAACAAGTGTTCTTACGTTGTTTGGGCTGCCGCAGTCCCCGTAGGTGGTGGTAAACAGCTCAACCCAGGAGAACTCTGGCAAATCAACGTAGCCTCTGGTACGACACAAGCCCGCATTTGGGCACGAACCAACTGCCAATTTGATGCCTCTGGAAGAGGTAGTTGCCAGACAGG